CCTATCTCAGCAAAGGAGCACTCCCGGAACCCACAGAACCGCAGGCCTGGGGCGGTGACGGGGCAGTGCTGGGCGGAGGGGGCTCAGGCCTCCAATTCCTGTCATTCCAAAGGTCCCATAAAAAGAGGCACACTCATTCTTCACTTCTCCCTGAAATCGGAGCCCTCCTCCTTCCTCCAATTGCACTGTGATTCCCCAGTGAGGATCCAGGGGGATTTCTGATGGCCTCTGCCCTGGGCAGCCCACGTTCTCCTGGAAGTTGGAAACAGTCAATGCGCAGAACCTCTGCAATAGTGAGGTGGGGGGCCTTGGTGCCACCGGGTGGGGCTAGGGGGGCCACGCTAGGGAGCTGATCACTTCTCCAGCCTTACTGGGTGGCACTGCCTCTGGCCCAGCTTGGCAAGGTGGGTGAAAGTGAGGCCTTTTCTAAAACACGTACTGGTCAATCCAGCCAATATGAGGCCAAGAAAGAACAGACCAGGGGAAGTCGGAGGGCGAGAGACGGAGCCCGTGGGGGAGAAGAGGTGGCTCTTACTGTCTTGGGAAGGAGTCTCAGGAGGACGGCATGGAGCAGGAGGAGGCCCTGTGTCAGCAGCTAAGGCCTCCTGTTCTCTCTGTTGGGTTCCGAGTCCTGCGCATCACTCAGTAAAGAGCCCGGCACCTGACAGATTGGGACTGGTTTACAGTGTGCTGGGCAGATCCGGCTGGTCCATAAGTGACAATGACGGAGAGTCCCGGTGTCTCTGGGCCAACTCCCTAGTGGTGGCACTCAACCTTGGCTGCACCTAGAATCACCTGAGGGATTCTTTATGAAAGGATGCCCTGGGGTCTTGTCCCTGAGAATTTAGTTCAATGTCAGGTAGGACCCTGGGCCAGCTTGTTTTAAAACAAGCTGGAAAGCACCTGAGAACCCACAGACCTAAAGACGACCCAGCATCCGTCATCTTGCAGTATTCTTAGGCTGGCTCCCCACTGTGGACAGTCACACTGACAAGAGATTGTGCCTTAGTTTACCCATCTGTGAAGCCGACCCTCAAACTACCAGTCCCAATGCCTTGCTGCTTCCAAGTGTGGTCCCTGGACCAGCTTCACCAGCGTCAGCTGGGAACTTATTAGAAATGCAGACTCTCAGGCCCTGTCACATATACATTGCATCGGAATCTGCATTTTAACAAAGTCCCAAGACTGATTTTGAGCTGTGGGATGGGTGATAGGAGTCCAGAGACCCTCGGGTCCACGGCACCGTCACGGCTCATGAAGGCAGTGGTTCTAAGTTCCCTGAGAGGATTTGGTGGGTCTGGCTGGGAAGAACTGAAGGACCTTTGACCTCCCCCTAGACCCCATTCCCTACTCTGTGGGGGCTGCACCCCAGCTTGACGTCCCTCAGGCCTCTGCTGGAGAATAACAGAAGAAGTGGCCTCTCTCCCTCCTGTGTTGCCAGCTCCCACCACTGAGGGCCAGGCAGCAGGAGCAGGCGGCCAGGAAGGCCTGGGGACAAGACAGCTGCTGGGAGCGGAGCTCAGGGGCACTTCACAGCCTGGCCCCTTTGCAGCCAGCACACTAAGCTGCGTCTCAGAACTTGGGCGGAGACGTGGCCGCCAACCTGGCCACAGGAGGAGCATCTCAGAGGCTGCAGAACAGAACCAGGGCCTGGCTAGAGACACAGAGCCAAGTGGGCCTTGCGTGGCTGGAGCTGGGCATGGACCCCACAGGGAAGGGGAGGGCAGGGCACTGGGCCCAGGTCTCCCTCTCTCTGCCAGGAGAGTTACCCAACCAGGTGTGGCAGAAACTCAACGGAAGCAGATGAGGGGCCCTCCCGCGGGTGTCAGGAGGGACGCAGGTGGGTGCTGAGCCTGCTCCTTGCTCTTCTTGGGCCTCTCTGGTCTGGGTGGTGAGTGACCCTGAACTCTGCTGCCCGGAAGTTCTGCCACATCCTGGGCTGCAGGACCAATCAGACAGCTGGGCTCCCTGCGGACGGGCCGTGTATTCAGGGCACAGCACAGACAGTGGCCTTCCCAAGACAGCAAGCCAGAGGTGGCCTAGGTGAAGCCTCTGGTCACACCCCTAAGGACTCCTCTGCAGCTCGCGGGAAAGCTGGGTTGTGGGTGGTGAAGGGGGTGAGTGGTGGCCTGTGGGGTGAGCCCCGCGCTCTCCAGCCAGGCCCACGGCTACTGTCACACCATGGGGACAAGCCCTGAAGCTCAGAATGGGGGTCGTGTCTGCCTCCAGGGGTTCCCTTCTAGCTAGGACCACAGCTGTCCATGGGCCAATGGCCTGGGAGAAGAGAGGGGTAAGCTTCTTCCTCTTCTGACATCCATTTCCTCATGGCCACTAAGGCCTGCCAGCCCCAGGACACAGAGAGAAAGGAGCAGAGGGGGTCCCTGCCTTCCCGAGCTGGGAGGTGGGCAATGACAGCAGGGACCCTGCATCACCGTGCTCCTGGGCTTCCTGGGAGGAGTCCCCATCGCTCTCCACCGCAAACCCCTAGAGGACAGGGCTGCCTTTGGGCACTGCCCACCGAATCCTCTGCCTGACACAGGAAGACACTTACGCTAGTCGGGTGACTACCTGGTGATAGGAGCCCAGAGTCAGGGGGTTACAGCAGGATCCCTGGCGATCCGTGCCCAAGTGCCACCTAAAGTGTGAGTATGAGTCACCCTGGCAAAGGGCCGGGTATCTGGGATGCGAGGGGCAGTGAATTTTAGTTGGTGGTGGGGACAGAAATGGGGAAGGTGTCCCTTCGGATACAGATGGAGGTTAAGCCTGGCCGCAGGGTGGCAAGAGCAGAGTGTGGGAGTTACTGGTTCACCTCTGCCCCAGACACAAGGTGGCATCAGTAGGGTAGGCCTTTGTCACATGTCACTCAGGACAGACCTATCACAGAGTTCCAATGTGGGGTGAAGCAGTTGGCAAGAACTCAGATGGGGCTGGTGTGCTAAGGACTGCTTCGTCCAGCAGCCAGGCCTGGGGATGTGTGAAAGGGAGAGGCCCAGATGGGTCACTTGTGCTCCTGCGGTGGCCCGATTCATCTCTAGCAGCCAGCAGGGCCAGACCACCAGGTGCAGCCCGAGGGGCGACTGCAAGGCGGGGCTCCCACTGCTGACCCCTGCCGACCGCACAGCCTCAGCCAGGTCTGGGCTGGTCCCCTGCATCAGGTCAGTGCGCATCCCGCCCAGGGAACGCCCAGCACAGTGACCCTATGAGAACCTGTTAGCCGGGGGATGCGGATGGGACGTCCATGAGTGAAACGCAGCTTGACAGGCGCCTTTCCTGCTGGGACCCCTGGAGCCATCCTGAGCCAATGAGCAGATTTTGTGACTCACAGGGAAGTGGGTGCAGGGGTCCCAGAGCCCCTTTGGTGGCTGAGAAGTCACAGGATTGAGGCTCTGCTGGACATCTAGGGGCAAGGCCACTTTACCATGGGTGGCTAAAACAGATGCCTGATCTTGGGCAGCCTCTGCAGCCAGCCAGCGTCCCTGGGTACCCTGTGCCCTAGGACTGTCTGCCGCTGAGGTGGCTGGGTTACTTGGAGCTGGCAACCATGGTCTAGAACTCTTGCTTCACCCTGGCCCTTGTTTGAGAAAAAAATAATCCCCAAGCCGAGTGCAAGGCGGAGCTTGTCCACGGCTCCCCCGTGCCTGGTGGTACATGGCGACAGGCCTCTCTGCCTGTCACCCTCCACACTCTCCCAGGACATTCCGGCCTGCGAGGAACATGCCCAATGTGCAAATCCCTCAGGTAATGCGGGAATTCATCACCAGGGGAGTGAGGGCGATCCAGGAATGGGAACCTGATCAGCCCTGGAGCTGGAGAGAGGCGCCCAGACTGGCCAGGGAGGCTCAGGTTACAGTGCCCGGGGCACACGGGAGAGGAAGGACGGACAGCAAGCAAGGGGCTCGGCAGGCCGCAGGTGGATAGAAAGCAGTGACCTCCTCTTGCTTTTAGCGAAAAGACGGCAAATCATAAACCAGGTGGCTGAGACGAAGGTGGACGTGCTACCTTGTTTATACCTGTTGTCCAGGCGCAGCTGTGAATGGCAGTTTAGATGATCGATCTGTGGTCACCCGAGTGACCAATGACCTGCGTGTGGTCTCTTGGGCTCTGCCATCCTACGTCCACAATGTCTAGGTGACTGTTTGACTTTATTTGAACCAGCAGCTTGATTTATATCTCAACTAATCTCTAAAGTACAAAGTAGCGGGAGAGATGGCTTCTGCCCAGCCCTAGTGAGGCCACAATGCCACGATACCTGCCATTTATCCCCAGTGCGACCAGTTCACCTACGGCCACTCACAACAAAAGAGCAGACAGATGTGAGACAAAGGGGTACAGAGTTCAGTCTGAGTGCACAAGGCCACACCCGCCACACATGCACTGCCATGACCATGGCTGGACCTGGTCTCCACGGAGGCAGGAGAGAGCAGGACTGGAGCTAAGCTGAAGGGATATCGAGTGGGAATGCACCAAGGACGAGGCAGTCTGGGGCTGCCATGCTTTCCCTCAGCCCAGGACCTGCAGTGCGTCAGCAGACAGGCCATCTGCGTCCTGTCCCCCCAAGGCTCTGCTCAAACCCATCTTAGTCCCAGCTACAACAACTGCTCAGCCACCACGCTCTGAGAGGCTGACCCTGGGGAGAGGAGAGAGGTCCACGGCAAGTTCACGTCTGCTCAGACATGCAGAGGTCAAAGCACAGAGCCAGCCGCCGTCTCCCTTATCATGAAAATAGAAAGCGGGAAATGCTGGTTGAACAAAAAGCACCTATAAAATTATATTGGTCCTTTGTAACCATGGAGCACTCACACAAACACACACAAAGCCGGCCGCTCATCCCTCGCCCCTGACTGCCTTCTGATTTTCTATAATTAATCAGGCAATGGAGGAAGGAACTCGGGACAAGTTCAAGTGTGGTCAGAACTTGCAGCCTCCTCTCTAGTAATAACCCACGGCGCGCGCGCGGAGGGGCAGGGGGCATGGGGCGGCAGCTGCTGGTGTCGGGTTACCTGGAGCATGTTGAGGAGCAGGCTGCGGAACTTGGTCCCTTCCACCATGAAGAGGGCCATCTTGTCACAGAGCTTGGCGGCTGTGAAGGCGAAGCTGCGGTCCGACACGGCCTTCTGGTAGATGGTCCTCACGATCTCGCCCAGCATCTCCTCGGAGTTGGTGGAGTTCTGGGCCTCCTCCATGAAGGTGGTGAGCTTGGCGTCCACGTCGCTGCTGTTGTTGCGCATGCTGTTCAGGATCTCGATCAGCTTGTCCATCTTGTTCTGCTGGGGGCTGGTGGTCTCCACGGCCACTTCATCCTGGGCATGTGGGAGGAAATCGAGCGTGGCTGAGCGCAGCAGAGGTTTCTGCGGGGCGCGGGTGGCCTGAGGGAGTGCGGGCTGTCACCCCAGAGGAAGGACTTGAGGTCCTTTGGGAACGCTTACCCACCAAGGGCCCGGCCCGCATGCCCCAAATGCTCTTTGATGATGTTTTTCTGGGCCTTGGTGACACCCTCGTTGACATGGCAAGTTCTAGTTCCTACCCAGGATTCTCATATACATTGGGGTTTTGTCTGTCTGTTTGCCTATCAGAAAGGATTTAATGGGATCTATTTATTTATTTTCTGTGGTGCTGGGGATTGAACCCAGGGCCTTGTGCATGCGAGGCAAGCACTCTACCAACTGAGCTACATCTCCAGCCCCGATTTAGTGGGGTTCAAAAAGAAGGAATATGATAACACATCTTATCTGAACAAAACAGATGAGAGCAGAAGACCAGGCTGGGAAAGCGAGGAGGGTACAAAATGCCTGCAGGGGTGAGAGGTGGCCCCGGTTGGCCCTACGTCCTCCACACCCTTCTGTTCCCCATGCCCAGGGGTGGTTGTGTTCTCTGGGCACAGGGTTCCCTGTGGAATCCTCCCTGGCTTTATGTCCTGTGGAACTGAGGGCTCTCTGCACGCAGATGCTACACACCAAGGAACCTTCTACAGTGTCACTAAAATGGCTAGGACAAAACCCCTTCCGCCCTTTGAGGTTTTACTGGCTGAGACCAGGCTAGGGGCTGGAAAGAAGGAAGATGGCATCTAGCTATCTCAAAAGTATGTACTCAGGACAGCAGATGGGTGGCCAAGAACGCAGGTGACTTCACTGCGGAGATGTGAAACCCAGTCCAGGGGCAGGATCGGGGCCACACAGCGATACCCCTCCTGCTTTTGCCCTGTTCTCAAGACACGCTTTTTCATGGGCCTGAGCTTGCACCCTCCTGAGAACAGGCCTCACCTGGGGCAATTCCTGAAACTCATTTATGGGTGCTAGAGAAGTGCCTGATCTGTTCCATTGTTCATGCACCTCCCCACCTTGACCACCTGGGCCCTCGGCGGGACCATGGTCTGCGTCTTGAATAACACCCACCAGGGACGTCACATGTCTTATTTAATCTTCACAGTCTCTTTGCAAGTGGTGGGGGGCATACTATACCTAGTTTGCAGAATAAAATGGGCTCAGAGAGGTGGTTGACTGGCTCACGGTCACCCAGCCAGTCCAAAGCAGGGTGAGGACTGAGCCTGGATGCTAAAGCCCGAGCGGCGTCCCCCGTGCTGCTCTGCGCTCTGCTTGGCAGGCCTCTGGAGAACTCAGAGTCCTCCCCCACGGCTCTAGAAGCCTGTCCTGGAAGCTCTCGGGGCAAAGCCACCCGCCGGCCATCAGCTAGGAGGCTCAGCCAGGAGGCCCACTTTGGGGTGTCAGGAAATGAGGGAGGATTTCTTCTCAGCCTGTGGCCCTTGTCCCCACAGGAAGGAGGAGCAGGGCTGGGCACTTTGGGGAGGGGGGGGACACAGTGTGACACTTCAGCTTTAAGGGCTGATTTGGGAAGAGGGTGCCCTGCCTTATTCTGCCTGAGGGTGGGACTTGGACCTGGCTTCTGGGCAAAAGGAACCGGAGGAGGAGCCCAGTACATCTCGCTGTGGGGATGTCCCAGAAGGAGGACTCAGGAGCTCTGCCCGCTGTGCGGGGATGGCTGTGGCCATCAGCCTTCCTCGGAGAGGGTTCCTCTCCCCGGCGACAGCGCCTGTGCCCTGGGTGAGTGTGGAGGGGCTGGGGCAGTGGTCGCTAGACCAGGCACAAGGGACATAATGCTACCAACAACAAGTCCCCATTCCTTTTCTGGTAGCTTGGTACCCTGTCCTCGGGTCATTCAGCGCAGGCTGGCACTCGTGTGACGCAGAGGCTGGGCCTCCTGGCTTTGCACCTTTGAGCCCTTGCAGGCTGCTGGGAGATGAAGTCGGGGAGGGCAGGGTGGAGGCCAGCCTGCTCCCACGCTGCCTGGCTCCTGGCAGGGATGGAGCCTGCGAGGGACTCACACTGGGGAGAAGCAGCCTTTCGTCGTATTGCCTAAGTTCCACGTGTCCTCAAATGTTCCTTAGCATGGTGGACTCTGACCCCCCAAAATGCTCCTGTGCCCCTCCCATCACCCCAGCACATGTCCCTCCGGCTCCTCCCCAGTGCTAGCTGCACCTTTGGGGTGACCAGAAGCGGGGAGCCCAGGATGTGCTGAGGGGTTCCTGCAGAGCTGGCCATGGCTTGCCCTGTGGTGGCCCAGTGGCGTCCACCCAGATGCCCCCCCACATAGCTCCCTCTCCTCCCGCCAGAGCCCACCTACCAGAGCGCCTACCTCTCGATGTCCTCCCTGGTGCAAGAGAACAACAAAAAGTCAATTACCGGTACCTTTTCCTTTAGCCTCCGCCGCAGCCTGTCTTTGGAAGACTGGAGCAGGGTGACTCTGGGCCGCTCCCCCGCGCGCTCAGGAGGGACACTGTCTTTGTGCTTGGTCTCGGCCTCTGGTCCCCCTGGAGGCTGTGGTGGCAGCCTCTCGGGAGCTGTTGGGGTGAGGGTGTCAGGGCTGCGGGGGGTTTCAAGGCCACTGTTCCTGGTGTCCCCTGGGGTGTCCTCAAGTTTGGGGCTCTCGATGGCCACGGTCTCTTTGGCGTTGCGGTGGGCTCCTGCCTCCCCCTTGTCCCCTGGAGGGTGCTTCATGCTGCTCTGGTACCAGCGCCGGTTCTGGCTGTAGCCGTGGTGGGTAGGCCTCCCTGAGGCGGGGGCCGCTGAGCCCCCCTGGTAGGATTTCTGGTGATCCCGGTTGTGTTTGGCACTGCCCGGCTGGTGGTCCCCGTGCTGTTGGGGCTTGTTCCCCCCGGGAGGTCTCTGCTGCCTTCTGCAAAGGGAAGGGGAAAGACAGAGAGGGGGGTCAGCGGTGGGCCGGCCAGGGTCCCCGCATCTGAACACCAGGGGAGGAAGTCATGGCCTTGCTCCTTTATTCATTCTCTCAAAAAAAACAATTATTGAGAACCTCCCACCTACCAGGCTTTGTGACAGAACGGCCAGACAGGTGGCTGGCAGACAGAGATTCGAGTTCCTCTCTCACTTAAAGTCCACATTTTATTCATTTAGTAGATGCACAAATACACATGCACAGGGAACGAAACCTGAACGATCTAGTAGAAAACACGGTGAACCCTCCTGCTTCTGTCGCCAGCCACCTGCTGTATCCTCTGGTAGCAGGGTTTCCTGAAAAAACTCAGTTGTGGACCCCATCCACCACCTCCAGAACGTGACCACCTGGAGACCCGGCCTTTAAAGAGGGGATCAAGGGAAGATGAGGATGCCATCATGTATGACCGTGACCATGAGAAGTCATACTCCATGTATGTACAACATGTCAAAATATATTCTACTATCAAACAAACTACAACAAATAAAAAATAAAATAAATATTTTTTAAAAAGTTCAGATGAGGATGTCACAGTGGGTCTTCATTCAATATGACTGGTAGCCTTATGATGTGAGGAGATTTATTTTCTTCTCCTCCTGGTATTGGGGATTGAACCCAGGGCTGCTTTTCCGCTGAGCTGTACCCCTCAACTTTTTTGATTTATTTATTTTAAAAATTTGAGTCGAGGTCTCACTAAGTTGTTGAGGCTGTCCTAGAACTTGGGATCCTCCTGCCTCAGCCTCCGGGAGTCGCTGGGATTACAGGAGTGCTCCATCCTGCCTGGCTAGTGAGAGGAGATCTGCACACACAGCAGGGGTGCTGCACACAGACATAGGACCCAGGGAGAAAATGGCACCTGCAGGCCAGGGAGAGAGGCCTCAGAAAAACCAGCCCCGCTGACACCTTGATCCGGGACTTCCAGCCTCCAGAACTGAGAGGAAATCAATATCTGCTGTCTTAGCCACCCCGTTGGTGGCACTTGGTCCCGGCAGCCCTAGCACATGAATACATTTAACACGATGGTTTGGGGCAGACAGGCTCCCAGTTATTTTGACAACACTTTTCCAATGAGGGAACAGCAAGGCAAACCTGAGCTCTGCACCAGGGTGAATGACAACCTTTTGATTTGTGGACCGGAAGCAAGTCAAAGGGTGAGTGGGATTGGGGTGGGCATCCTCACGGCTTCCAGGCCCACACCTGACGCTGTGTCCTGCCACTCCCAGCACTCGTGTTCAATCTCAATGTCACCCCCAGCTTTTCCATGCCGTAGCGTCACCGGCAGTGCAGGTAGGGAACAAGATAGCCACACCCCTCAAAAGTCATGCAGTGGTGAGAAATTGGCAGAGAGACGTCACCTTCTCCAAAATGAGTCTCCACCTCCTATGTGACCTGTCTAGCGTATCAGGGGCCTTCACTGCAATTGCACTTTATGAACCAACTTTCAAGTGATTGCTTATTACTTAAGCAAACTCACTTTCACTGCACTTGATACATTTTTATCTGTAAAAATTTTGGGGGGGGGTCTCTTGGGTTGGGATTAAATGCATTCTTTCTTTCTCACTAAAAAATTAATGAAAAAAATTTTCCATTGAAAAGCTTTCCACTTGGTAGCATGGCTTCATTTATTTATTTATTTGGTACTGGGGATTGCACTCAGGGGCACTTGACCACTGAGCCACACCCCCAGCCCTATTGGTATTTTATTTAGAGACAGGGTCTCACTGAGTTGCTTAGGGCCTTGCTGTGGCTGTTGAACTTGTGATCATCCTGTCTCAGCCTCCAGAGCCACTGGGATTACAGGTGTGCGCCCCGCGCCAGGCAGTGGCATGGTTTTAGATAAATTAAAATGGTCAAAGGAGGGACAGACATGTGACTTTTAGTTTCCACCCAAAAAGTAATTTACAGCACATTGTATATCAGGGGTAGAAATTAATATAATTTTTTTGGCGGGAAATCTGACAATTTGTTTCAAAAGCCTCTAATAAATGCCCACCTTTGGACCTTGTTATTCCACATGTGGTAATGTATCCCAATAAAGTAATCAAAGATGTGCATAAGGATTTAGGCACAATGATATCCGTCACAGCCCAAACGGAACGTGGAGTCATTAAGGATGAAGCAAAATAGTTCACTCTTGCTGAGGGAACTAGGGGTCCTTTCAGGCAAGTACTTATCTGCCTAGAAAAATCTGGAAGGATACACTCGAAAATGCTAATGGTGGCTATCTCTGGGAGATGGGATGTGGATTCTTCTTTTATTTATGTTTTCTAAATGAACATGATTTCATTTTCCGAAATTAAACTTTTTATTGCGAGGCAATTCTAGAGGCACATGCATTGTAAGAAATAACGCACGGCTTGCCCACTTCCCCTCACGGTAGCATCTTCCACAACCATAGCACAATGTCACAAGCAGGACTTCAACAGCGAGACAGCCAAGATACAGAGCACTGCTAGCACAGGGGTCCTCCGGGTGCCCTTTTGGAGCCACGCCCCCCTCGCTCCCACCACCCCCATCCGTGGCCTTTGGCAACCACGAATCCATTCTCCACTTCTATACTCTGGAGAATGTGGTATAAATGGAATCAGATATTTCTGGGATTGGCTTTTTTCACTCTGCATAATTCCCTGGAGACCCACCCAGGTTGTTGCCTGGACCGGTTTCTATTTCTATTTCTCCATTACTCGGTGGCGGTCCCTGGATGGACGCTTCGCCCTGTGCCTAACTATTCACCTGCAGAAGGACATCTGCAGAGCAGTTTGGTCCTCTGCACGGAGTCTGCATCTCCCTTGGACAGACACCCAGCAGTGCCGCTGCTGGATCCTATGGTGGTCACAAATCTAGTTTTTAAAGAAACCACCATTTTCCAGAGAGGTTGCACCTTCCCACCCTCCTGCCAGCACCGCAGGAAGGACTTCAGTCACAGGTCTGTGAGTGACGCTTGAGATGCACTTTCTCCTGTTTGGGGGATTCCAATGGCATGGATGTCAGACTTTTTGTCACGGTCCCACAGGCCCCTGAAGCTCAGTTTGTTCCCTTCCAGTCCCTTTTCTCTGTCCCTAGTGCTGGGTGATTTCTTCTGTGACCTCTCTGGTTCATGGTTCTTTCTGTTTGTGCCCTTTCGTTGGACTTTTCATTGAACTCTTAAGCTTCCATTTGGTTTTTCTTGACATCTTCTACTTCTTTGCCAAGACCTGAGTTTTCATGTTTCAACGGGACTCCTAGGTGTTCTTTGGAGTGTTTTTTGGTGATGTCCGCTGTAACATCTTCGCTAGATAATTCTAACCTATCAGCTTGGTGTTGGCCTCTGTTAATCGTCTCTTTTCCATTCAACATAAGGTCTTTCTGATTGGGGGTATGACCAGCGATGTTCCATTGAGACCTGGACCATCGGGCACGATGGTGAGACTCAACCTGTCCTAGCTGGCCTCCTCCCATCTTGCTCTGCCTGGTCATTGTGCAGTGGGGATGGTGGTGATGGGAACTGCTTTGTCACCGCCCAGTGTGAGCGGAAGTCCACCTTCCCTAATGGGCCTTCTCTGGCACCCAAAGGGGGCTCCTCATCATTGCTGGGCAGGAATGGGGTTCAACTCTCCACGAGGCCGCCAGACACTGTCTCAGCATGGATGGGGGTTGGGGGGGCGGGGAACCTCCTTTCTGCAGGGAGGGGTAGGAATTCTTGGCTCCCCAAGTGGCCTCCATGGGCACAGAGAGAGAGGTGCTTTCACCCCACAAGATGGAAATTCCACTTGGTCTCTCTGATACCATCCTGATGGCCCGGTCTAGGTCCTTCCCTAAGTCTTCCCCGAGTGGTGGGTGGGGCCGCTGTTTCTTCTGGGGCTTCTGGCTGCAGAGTGGTCATTGCCTGGAGCGCTCCGTGCCCTGGCCTTTGGCTGGAGGGAGTCAGCTTTGGTTGGGGCTTCTTTGCTCATGCCTCCTGGTGTTTCTGGTTTCTTTAGATGCCAGTCTGGGATATATGAAGCCAAGAAGAAAATGGAAAGAACTCATCCTGGTGCCATTCCTCAGGTCCCCAGGTCCCTGGCCTGTCTGCCTTCCAAACATCTTTCAGAGTCTTCTTATGTCTGTCCTTCCTTCTTTCCTATCTATCCATCCATCCCTCCACCTCTATCTCTGCAGCAGTCATGAGGAACCCCTTTGGGTGTCAAAGAAGGCCCAGTGCAGAATGTGGACCTCTGCCCCCACTGGGCAGTAACAAGACAAGGTCTTCCTGTCCCCAGCCTCCCCACTGCATAATGACCAAGCAAAGAAGACTGGAAGAGGCCAGCTGAGACAGGTGGGCAGACTTCACCATTGTGTATGTATAAATATGTAGCGCCCAGGGTTTTCAGTGGTCTTACCTACTCTAATAATCATTATAACAAGATCTATGCAGTCTGTTACACTGAACTGAATCCCACGACCAGGTGTCCTGGGCACCCTCAGGAGGCCCGTGTGGTATTTTCATCTTCGTCATCCACCTTCCAACTCACTGGGTTCTGGTGACATTCCCAGGAAAGCACCTCGCTGCTCAGTCACTGGGGGTGGAAGAGGAAGCACCTCCATCCCTCCAAACCCTTCTGTGCTCCCTGACACACCTGAAATCTTCAGTCTCCCTCCCCGGGTATGATGGGATCAGGGCCGTGAGCATGGCACCCGGGGAGAGCTGGGCCCCTGTTGGCAGAGAGGACCATTGAGGCCGGCTCCTCCCAGTGGCCTCTAGACTGCCCAGAGCTACAGTAATGCCCTTAAGTTCTGGGGGCCACTCTCTCCTTAGGGAGCATGAGGCACCCACCATGAGAGAGCAGAAGCTCCAGGAGGGCGTGGATGTGGCTCAGAGGTAGAGCCCTTGCCTGGCTTGACGGACGGAGAGGTCCTGGGGTCATTCCCAGCACTGCCCAAAACAAGGAACCCAGGGTCCATGCCGGTTCCTCAGGTGCCTTTGG